GCAAACGCTGATGTGATAATACAAAATATGATCGGCAAAATGATCGACATGTGATATAAGTATGTCCACCCTGCTAGGTGAATCCCGATTATGTAATTTAACACGTAAATTTCCACCACGTGACCGGTGACATTTAAGAGGGGTGAACAAAATTTTTTTAGTGGTGAAAATTTTCTCTGTCCCCAGAATGAATACATAGTAAAAATGAAATTGACCCGGGGTGACAAATTGTGCATCTTACGTGGGTGGAAAATCTTGATTATGTAAATCAGGTCACGTGGAAACAAATGGGTTTTTATAAAAAAAAATTATTTGTCCCTAAGCATAGTTAAGATAAGGTGGATTGAACGGGCGAGTTAAAATCAAGTCATGAGTTATAATATCCATAATGGTTTTTTTTTGAACGGATAAATTTTTTTGAAAATAAGTTATTTTCGAGATCGCACAACACTTAACTTCTCTATTAAATCCCTCCTAGAGTCGTTCGTTTCATTTTCAATTTCTCCTTAAAAATTCTTTCTTCCTTCCTCGTAACCCAAAATACACATAAATGTAGAAAATGAAATATAATTCCATTCATTAATCTCTTCAAGTATTTCCCTAAATAACCAAATTAAAGCTGAATACGAAAATTGAAACGGGGCATTTCAATTCAAAAATGTTTTAATCCGATATGGATATTCTGTCCATCTTTATAATTCGTCCCAATAAACGAAAGCCGCTCGAAAATATTTAAAAGGAAATCATCTCACTCACTCCCAATCTTTTGCATCCTTTTGATGCGTTATTATCAAGGCCATCAAGACATTTAATATACTTTATCTGGATTGCATTTATCTTTCATCACCTACCGATTAGCTTGGAAGATATCTGCAAGTAAGAGTATATCGAACTTAAATTTCTTCAACTCACAAGTAATTTGCAGATATTTCTTAAATCTACTTGTTTATCAGGTTCGTGTAAACGAGCTTTATCATCTTGAAAATAATCTAATGTAGAAAGACTATAATAAAGAACGTTGCATAAAAAAAATTACCCGTCTCCTGATGTACTTCAACGCTGCCTTAACGTCAAGATTTTTTTACTTTTACCGGATCGCTGAGTCAAGTAACATTTTCTCATCTTTTATTTTATTCGATAAGTTTAATATTTCTACATGCTTCTCTTACATAATCTCGTGAATTTTATTTAACTCTCCATAATTCTCTCAACCTGATCGGCATAATTTTAGTTGAATTTTCATATTGCAATTCTTGAGTCCACGGAAGTTCCCACTTCTTCGGTTGAGAATCAGGATCAATCTCGCGACTATCTCTAACGAGTAAGCGTTTTTGCATTTTAAAGTGGGCCAACTCCTTTCTAGAATAACGATTGGCGCGTTAAGTGACGTTGGATTGTCTCTACCTAATATCTTCTCAAGAACTTCAATACGATTTATTTAATTCTTTCATGGCTTCTTGTAAAACTTCGTTCTGTTGAATTACATGTTCTTGTTTGAAAAATGACTCCCTTAGACTCGTGATCAACAGGATCATTATCTGTTTCGTCATTCTGAGGCTTTCTCTTTTTAGATCAGGTGTTTTAACAACAGGCTTATATTCCGTTTATTTTTGTTCACACAAGACGACGCTGGTTTTTCTTCGTCGGTAGAAAGGAAATTCACTTATTGGCTAGATTGACTAGGGTTTGTGTGTGTTTGTGTGTGTGTGCATGTGTAAACCAAATTTTAATTAATCGTGAATTAAGTTTGACGTTGACGGGTATCAAAACATATTGTACATTACATATCTCACCCAAGTCTTGTTAAGTAGTAAATTAAAAAATCATTTAAATAAAAAAAAAATCGGTTCTTACTTTGTTGACCGCATTTACATTTTGAACTTTAGAGTTCAAATAATAAATATGGGATCTTATGCAATAGAAAAGGGAGAAATGGGAAAAGCGTTAATATGGCAAATATGATTTTCAGGTCAATTCTAATTGGCTGATAAACTGATCAGGTCAAATATAAGGGGTTTTTTTATCGTAAAAGTTGTTCCTGTTTTTTTATAATTTTAATTTTCTATACAAAGATGACTTCTTTACCACCTCTTGAACCTACAATATCACAACTACATACGCTTAGTGTGGAAAGCCTTATCTATGAGAAGCAACGTCTAGACAATTCTTTATTTCATTTAAATAGATCGAATGAAGACATGAAAAAATTTGATGAGAATGATAAAGATTTTCAATTAGCAATAAAGGAGAATGAAGAACTTATCACAAGGTAAATAATTATAAAAACCATTTTAATAAATCTAAAATACTCAAGTACTTAATTGTCAAAGGCATCGTGAAAAGATCAAGATGATCCAGGACTTGTTGAAGGAAAGACAACAAAATGGCAATATTTGTATAACTACCGAACGTCCTGTACAGATTATGACCGATTCAAATTCAATTCAGCAAGCAGTTGATACACAACAAGAGACATTGTCAACAACAACTGATATACAAATAGATCATAATGTCAATATCTTTAACAACACACAAGATGAATCCGAAGATGGAATTTATTTATAAGTTCATTACCAATAATTGTTTCGGAGTCAATAATCGGTAATAACATTTAAATAATTGTTGAATTTAAAATATGAGTATTTTTAATATTTACAAAATTTTTCTTGAAAGGGCAAATTTTTTATCACGTGTTCTGATAGTCGTTTACATTTTGATTAGTAATGAGCTGTTTGATACAGATTCAAATTAAAAAAAATTATCTAAAATTTGCATAATCCCTTTACTAAAGTTCAGATTTCTACTAGATCTAAAATCTATGTATAGGATAACCTTGAACATCACATTCAAGCAACAAAAAGATAAATTCAAGTGAATAAAGAATAAAGGGCATTATTTATATTATGAAAATGTGATTATATAAGTAATTTGCTATTAAACGAATCATGTGGGAGGTTTGCATGTTTGGACCATCGATAACAAAACATCCCATATGATTAAATATGTTTATAAATTGATTTTACACATATGGGGGACAAATAGGATTTTATCAAAAATAAAATTCTGTTCCAGAGTTATTAAGAAAAGGTGACGTGTAATAAAAAGCATTTAGGATTGATTTTAGCAATTTGAGAAAATATTTAATATGGGTCGGTGCAAAAACATTTGTACATCAAACAAAGGCCAATAAAAAATTTTTTAACATATAAATTTTTTTTTT